AATTTGTTTGATGATCTGAAACATTTCAGTGTGACAAACATGCAAAAAAATAAGAAATCAGGAAAGGGGCAAACACTTTTTCACACCACTCCCTTTTCCCTTTTTCTAGGGATGTTGCATTACAATTTTTATTATAATACTGTATATAGTATGGTGCCAGCTCAGACTTTTTGTAGTGAGATATTACTGGAAACTGAGATCTTATAGACATAACTTTTCTTCTGCATTTATTTATTCTTTGAAAGTGACAATTGACCCCTTTGCATTCTGATTCTGTTAATGTCTGCTTTGTCTACCAATATATCAGTGCTAAACTCTCCTACAGTGTGTACTAGTGACCAAGATTTTCTACAAAGGAAAAAATGTTGCCATGACATAGGAATCTCATTTTAAATAAGATTCGCTAATAAGCATTACTGTGTGGCAGGGTCCACCTTTGCAGAGAAAGGAAAAGGAGTCTATTTAAAAAATAGACTTGGGTATTTATGTTGACACATCATTTACAAATTCTAGGCTAAATGAAGAAGTGGGGAAACAATCAAATGGCAAACTGAATGTTAGAACCAAATGTCACAACAAAATAATTTCAATCTAGGGATGTTGCATTACAATTTTTACTATACATTTTTAAACAAATTTATAACGAATATTACAAATAAAACAATTGTATTAGTAAGACTTTTTTTTAGAAAAGTACCATTTTTGGCACCATGTAACAAAGAAAATTGCTGGATCTTAACTTTTGCCCTGATTATTTGTTTTGGTTTCACACTAGATTTCAAAACTGAAAAGGTTAGGATTTTAAGCTGTCAGTTCAGGAGATTCTTTGAAGTCCACATACAGAACTCATGACTCACTTCAAGATCTGGGACATATGTCTGACCTTTACATAGTTATCTTTAAATACTATTTAATTAGTATTTAAAACAGAAAATATTCTGTCTGGGCAGTGGTGCAGTGGTTAGCATTTCTGCTTCGCAGTACAGGAGCCCTATCTGTGTAGAGTTTATACTGTATGTTCTCCCTGTGTTTGCAGGAGTTTCCTCCAGGTGGTCCAGTTTCCTCATACAGTCCACTCATATACTGGTTGATTAATTGACTTCTGGGAAAACTGGCCCTTGGTGTGAGTGTTTCTGTGTGCTTACGTTTGTGTTGCAAAGTCTGCTATGCTTCTTATAGATGATCCTTTTCTGACAGCTTGCCTAAGATTTCATAACACTTAATTGCAATATGACCTAGTGACATGAGGTGGCAGCAAAGTATCGAAGTCTGGTTCCTCTGGTGCTTTCAAGAAAACAACCAAGACAGGAATAAAAAA